TTTGATAAATCTTCAAATAAAAAGAAAGAATTAAAAAAAAACATAATTGATATCTTTTTTTTTTCTCTTTACTTGAAAAGATTAAATTATTAAGATCATGTAATATAAAGGGATGTTCAAAAAAAAAATTATAAATAAATGAAGTTCATCATATTGATTATGAAAAAATTGGTCGAATTGTTGTTGGTTTTAAAACATTTGAAAGAACATAAATATCTTTTAAACATCCAACCTATATAAAAGACAAACATGACAAACAATTTGTATTCGAGTAGATGCTTGAGCTTGTAATGAATGATGAATTTTATATATCCATTGACATAGTAAAAATGAATTGTGATCAACAAAACCTTAAAATCAAAAAGTAGCTAATAACTAACTTAATGTAATAAAATCGACTTATTCATTCAAATTCGAAAAAAAACTACCTAGTTAATATCTCTACAAAATACATACTTAGCAAAAGTCGAAGCAGTTGCTTGACGAACACGTATATCAGGGTACTGTTGTTTTAATTGTTGTTCAGGATAAGTTAATATTCGAAAATCAATATCATCCATAAGTTGAGCTAGAGCAAACTATTTTATATACACACAAAACAAAATTATCATAATTATAAATTTCTTTTATCTACTTTAGCAAGAATACAGGAACTTGTAGTATGTTGAATAGAATCTTCTAATAATTCAACTCCTATGATTGTAAATGCATGACTATTAATTAATAAAAAAAGGTAATAATGTTCGTAAAGCATTTAATGAAACATGTATAACACGTGCATTATTATCATTAAGACATATAACCTTGAACTATCTTGTGAATCAGTTGATATAAGTGAACATTCATTAATAAAAGAATTATTAAATGAATTTGATAATGATGATAGTGTTAAAAGATGATTTGTTGTTTGAATTAATGTAACAAGTAAATTTTCACATGCACCACGTAAATGTAGATCACCGTGTTCACATAAAGATAAAAGATATGTAATATCTTAAAGAAAAGAAAAAAAAAGATACCTTGATGTTCGATAAATTTTAATGTATTACAAGTCATATAGAGATGTGAATTTCATTTTTTCCTTTAGAGAATTCAATTTTAATTATAAAATTATATCTAATCAGAAATCTTCAAAGACTAAAGAAAAACTCCTTAGAGGATACAATTGATTTCAAATCTCGAACTTCGGCTTAGAACTTTTTTTGAGGTAGTTATGTGATTATATAATTTCAATCTCTGATGTATAAATGCAGGCTTTGAGCTTCAATAAAGTGTTCTACTTGATATCTTTTCGAGTCTGATAATGTTCTAGTCTTTTGTTGATTCCAAAAAAATTAAAAGTAGGAATAGAACTAGAGTTGCTGAATCAATATTCAGGAATCTCCGTTCTTGAATTTTCAGACTCCAATATATATATATATATATATATGTTTCAACAATTTAATAGTGAAATTGTCATATCTATCAGATAACTTTCACTAAAACTTTGAGACCTTAACCAATTGAAGCCACGTCAACTAAACTCTGCCACAATCCCATTCATCTAGGCCCTCCTACTGTTACGACTTTAGAAATAATTTTGGATTATAAAATAGATCTATTTCACTGAACTGAAACTTTACAAAAAAAGTCAAACAAGAATTAAACATACTTTCAGTAAGATAAACAAATGGATCAAATTGTTTATAAATACGATAGACATATTGGTATAGCACATTTAACACTAATACATGATTCATCATCACTTTTTATCGTACCATCCATATTAAGTATATATCTAATCGGAAAAAAAATATAATTGATTAACAAGTTTAGCAGCTGATATTCATTTTTCATTATTAGTCATTGATGTTGAATCGAATTCATCATTCATTTCAATAAATCAACGTTGATATGTTGAATAGGCTATTGTTTTAGGAAAAAAAACACAAATAAAAAAAATTCCTTTTTTTTTTCTCAATATTTACCTGTTTTTAAGGCTTCACTAACACAAGATTTTTCTATACATCCAATTTCAGTTGAAATTAATAATTCACCAAAATCAAATAAATTTGAATAACGAAGTAATTGAATCATTTTTTTTATTAAATCAAGATAATCAATTATTAAATGTGTACTAGCATTTTGATTTTGATGTTCAAGTGATTGATCTATTAAAATAAAAGACAATTATAATGCATTGAAATTATTATTTGAAGAAAAACTTACCAATTACATTTGCCATTAGAAAACGTGCCATAACCATGGGATAACATATTTGCCGAATAGGGCATGAGATGTTCCTAAGAATAATTTAATTATTGATTATATATTTCAAAAGAAAATTATTTATTGTTGATATTAGGAAAAGAAAAATTCATTCTCACTCGACTTCATACTTTAACTATCATGATAGCCAGTGAACTCCTATGACTAAACCATTCTTAAGTTGCATGAAACTCTACGCTCGATTACTTTCGATGGCAGATCGCTTCAAATGATAGACAGTTTCTCAGTTCGTATTTCGTCAAATAGTATCAGACTGCCTATTCTACATTTTCTGAGAAACATTCTCTCCTGCTAGAAATTTTAACCGAAACATGGTAGAGCAATCCTTTTCTATGTTTCTATTCAACCGTATGACATTTTTCTGATTACTTCTTTAAAAGACTTGTCTTAGATGACAAAGATTTTTGTTTTAATTACTTTAATTTCTTTATCATTAATCGGTCGACCAAGACTACGAAAAATAAGTTCATAATATTCTGATAAAATGGTTGAATCTTTTTGGAATGTATTACATTTGCTAATTCGGCAAATCACCACAACACCTAATCGAAATTTAAAAAAATCCTTATTATTAATTTAAGTCAAATAATCAAAATAACCTTTTAAAGCATTTGGCCCAACATTAGGATTATGTTTTATAGTTCGATATAATTCAACCGGAATTCTTGTTAAATCTGCTTCTTTTAAATTCTATTTTATAATTCATACAAAATTATACAAAAAAAACAATTTCTTTTATAATGCTTTAACAAATTTATTAAGATTTTCTTCAGCAGTCAATTGTACATTATAATCATTTTCATCACATGTTGTAAATAATGTGTCCACGCTAGCTTTAATTAATTTAAAATAATTTCCTTGTTATCTCTAGATGAGAAAAGCATTCTATAAGAGATAGAAACAAAATGAAAAACAGAAAAAGATCCAATTATTTACTTGATTATTAATGTTTCTGACGCTGTTGTTGAAAGTAATTTTAAAAATTCAAGTGATTTATTTAGTTTATCCATGTTGTTTAATTTATATTTAATTCATTTATTTTAAACACCACATTATTTGATAATCATAACGAATGAATGAATAGTCGACTGAAAAAGCCTAACATCGATTGAATATTCATAAACACCATTGACATTTCTGTTTCTTTTCATTAATAGATGGCACTACATTACGTCTTTCTGAAACAAGACTATAAAGTGAAAACTTTTTCATCAACCGATCTTCTTATAACTAAAATATAGTTTCTACTACACGTTCAACAGGGATATGTTTTCATCTTGTAAATACTAAAAGTGAGTCTAAAGCCATTATTTTGCGCTGGTGTGGGTAGGGTGTGGAAGTGGATGTGGATCAAAGTACTTCATTTATTGACATCCTTCCATCTAGAGTCACACTCTTTGCCACAGCCATCGTCATGCTACTCAATCACAGCCCACCCTCACCACATAATATCTACTGGGTGTGTGGGAAAAAACTTTTAGGACTCCAACAACAATGAGAACAACATGAATAAATTCTTTTTATAATATTTCGTTTTCTTTGCTTTGAATGACAATGCATTTTATTTTCGTTTTGTTATCTCTTGTTTGCTTGATGCACAAAAAGTTCGTCAACATTTTTCAGATGAAGAATATATAAGTTTTTAAGTGAGAAAGTAAACATACACACACTATTATAGAAATTGACTATCAAAAAAATTGCCAACAACATGAAAAAATTAGGATTTGGTTGTAGTTTTGGGTATTGATTTAGCGAATATATTACGCACAGCCACAGTCACACCCAAATCGTGCTGTTTTAATTGATTTTTAATCAAAAAAGAATCGATTGTTATGGCATCCTTTGTCAATGCTTTATATGAATTGTCTCGGGATTTCAATCTGAAGTGGAACTATTTGAAACTGAACTGAGTTTAATTCTATCCTAAGTAATATACATTGAATAGTTTTCGTTGATATTTAGTCATTAAATATAACTGTCGCTTCAGCTATTAGTGGTTTATTTCATCGAGAATAAACCTTTAAACTTCATCTTCGTTATTAAATTGTTATTTGTACACAAGATCGTCTGATTGCTGTAGTTGAAAATTTGTTATTAAAAACTACAACAATGTATTTATGTTGTTATGAATGAAGTTGATTGAATGATTCGGAACAAAATTTCAAGTATTTATTTATTTATTTGGTTCTTATTAGTTTTTCTTTATTCTAAGTTTGGTTTTGAAGATGATGTTTCACGTTTTCTTAAATATTTGCCGGTTACAAGTCAAAAACCAGATAATCAAGTTATAGAAGATATTAGATAACGACAACAGATTTTTTTTCTGTGTTATATCAAAATATTTTGCTGTAAAAGATAATTTTCATCAAACATTGATGCTTTAAGTAACAATGACACCAGTTATTGAATGTTTTGGACGTACGTATCTTTAGCGTCATCTAACATTTGTTCAAGTTGAATCTATTAGTAATCTAACTGAATGAATTAAACAAATTATCATTTTTGGTTGCTTTTTTATTTGTTCATTTCTATTAGGATTGAAAAGATGAAGAAAGTCGAAATCAGTTTTGACTTCAATTAAAACAAAGGCAGTGACATATTCTTGTTAGAACAGATGTCGCAGATCGTGGTAATTATTACATGGATAAGACTATTCAAGATAGAAGAAAAAAAAAGATTTCAGCAAAAAAGAAATAAATATGGTTTGAATTGTTTTAGATTATATATACATCGTATTGGTCGTACAGGTGATTTTAACAAAGCGATAAGATTTTGAATAAAAGAATATTCACCCGTATTTTATGAATTAAAAGAAGTCATAAATCAGTCACCTATATCATAATCTCTACCTGAATACCTTATCATCCTGATGCACAACATGAACTTGGTTTAATATTTTATTTCTTACATTTGTGTCTCACTTTTTTGTCTTATTATTATATATTAGTAATAAAAAAAGTATCTGATGAAAAATAAAACAATGAGGTATGATGTGTTTATGGATATGGGTTTTAGTGTTCTTTGCATCTATACCAACGCTCACATGCTACACGTACAGTCTGAAAGATTGACTAAATGTGTAATAAATTATGTACAAAGACGAAATCTTTTTTTAACTATTATTTGAAGCACGACAGTAAGCCAGTAATTAGTGTAAAATGATGAATATCATAATGACAAAATTTACAAAGAATCAAGAAAAAATAATTTTTTCGTGCCATTAACTTTTCAATTTAGTTGATTCTAATGAATCAAGCATGCAAAATACACGTATAGTTTTAGTCTTCTTATCGTTCTTCTTTCTCCATATATCTAGCTGCCTTGACACTTTATACCTGACTTATTATGTGGAAAGAACTTGTGATAACAAGAAGAAAATAACGAAAACAACACTTTAATTTATATATGATATTGCATATTCCTATTATTTAGATGACGATGCATTTCACTATCGTTCTCGTTATCTCTTGCTTGCTCGACATGTAGAAACTTCGTTAGCATCCATGAAACAAAGAAAAGATAACAAATCTTTAATATAACACCCGAAACATAAACACACCTGTATAGCAATTGATTGTAAAAAATTTCCAACAAAAGGAAAAAATAGCAATATATATAGGAGACTAAGTCTAACGTACTGCATCTTTTCATTTACCAATCATGGGTAATAAAACATCAACAGCAACTGTTACTAATGAACCAGCAACGATCATCACCCACAGTACTGGTGTGCTGCCTCACAGCGCTTGTCGAATTATTCAAAACTTTCTTCTCGTCTGGCTCGATGCCAATTTTGATGAATCAGGCAGTGATTTTAAAAATTCATTGCAACATCTTCGAAAAATTGTGGCATCCATCACAACGTTTACGGATGCCCAACAATGCATTAATTTCCTAAGTGAAATCAAAAAAGAAAAGGTATTTATGATCGTATCAGGTTCCTTGGGTCGTCAAATAGTACCAGAAATCGAAGCATTGCCACAACTGGAAGTAATTTATGTGTTTTGTGGCAACCAATCGATTAATGAACAATGGGCTAAAAAAATAAGCAAGGTTAAGGGTGTATACACAAAAATTGAACCAATTTGTCAAGCACTTGAAATCGATCGACAACGATGTGATCAAGCTATGATCCCGATCAGCTTTAATGGTCGTGATGCATTATTTATGTATACACAACTTTTAAAAGAAGCACTCTTGGAGATCGAAGATGACAATAAAAAATCCATCAAAGATTTGGTCGATTACTGCCGTGAACAGGATGATATTTCTGAAGATCAGATTAAACAAATAGAACGTGAATATCGTAATCATACACCAATATGGTGGTATACAGCGGAGACATTTATTTATCCCATGCTCAATCGTGGTCTCCGACAAATGGATGTTGACATCATCCTTAAAATGGGATTTTTCATACGTCATTTACATCAGCATATTACCGAATTACATCGTGAACAAAAAGCCAACATACCAGCAAAATTTCAAGTCTTCCGTGGACAAGGTTTGTCCATGGAAGATTTTGAAAAAATGAAAAACACCAAAGGAGGACTTATGTCCTTTAATAATTTCTTATCAACAAGTCGCAATCGTGAGATATCTTTCAAAAACTTTGCACGACCAGCAGCATTAAATACAAACTCAGTTGGCATCCTTTTCATTATGAACATTGACACGGGTATTTGCACGAAATCTTCAACGCCATTTGCTGAAGTAAGCAAAGTTGGCTACTACAAAGATAAAGAGGAAGAAATACTATTTTCAACACATGCGATTTTTCGTATCGATCGCATTGAACGAATTCACGATAATCACTCTGATCGGCTATACGAAGTCACTCTCACTATTGTCGGTAATGACAATCACGAATTGAACACACTTACTGCACACATACGTAAGGACCTTGGTGTGCGCACAGGATGGTCTCGACTAGGTCGTATACTAAAAAGAGTGGGCGAACCTGCAAAAGCCGAACAACTCTATCAAATTCTCCTTGCAAAGGCGTCTTCTGATGAAGATCGAGCGGAATACAATTATCAACTTGGCTGGGTGTATAATGACATGGGCGAGTATTCAAAAGCACTTTTATATTATGAAAAATCACTGGATATCTACAAGAAAATTCTCTCTCCAAATGATCTCAGCTTGGCTTCTTCCTACAACAACATCGGTATAGTGTACAGAAAAATGGGCGAGTACTCAAAAGCACTTTCATCGTATGAACGATCACTTGA